TTCACGTCGCAAAAACAGGGGAATGAAAAACTCTCTGGATCCTTCAGTTTAGGGTACATATATTGGATCACAACGCTAGTTGTAGCATTCATTTCCATGACCTCATATACATCTAATTTTCTCTTTTTAGACAAGATTTTCTTTAGAAACTTAACATAAGTTGGCATTCGGGAGAGAACTTCGGTGAAAGGCACATTGACGTAGAGATTTTTCAGTGTCTCTTCAAATTTCACTAAATGAACCTCTACCATAGCCTTCACCAATCTTTATGGAAATGGTATTTTTAGCTTATAGATAGGAGGAGCAATATAAGGTTTTTTTCCTTCTTTTCCTCTTCGACAACCACCATTTTTGGTGATGTCGATAGACTCTCCTTATCCTCTAATTTTTCTCTCCTGAACTCTCAACCTTTTTTTTACCTTTTTCCTCATAACTCTATTTGTTTTCCACTTCTGGATATCACAACACTCACATGTCCTTTTGGATTTTGCACGGGTTGACCAGAAAAAGATCTTGGAGGGACTAAAGATGAATATTTTTGCTGCGCAACTTGGGAGATATGTGTCTCTGACATTTTATTATGCGTGGAAATGGATTCATGTTTAGTAGTCAACTGCCTAAAGACCTCATTAGTTTGGAGGTTTTTGTTTCTGAACTCTTCATTTTGACGATTTTGCGTCGAGATAAACTCTTCGTCATGGTTTCCAAGTTAAACTTCCTAAATGCTACGCCTTATTTCAGGCGTTTTGGGGTTGATTATTCTTATAAGAGATGTTATGGGGATCTCTCCACCCCGGATTATATGTGTTGGAATAAGGATTTCATCATTGCTTGTTAACATAATTAACATTGTCTAGAGTGGATTCTCCAACAAGGATCATCTGAAAGTCACTAGAGGAATGTCCATTTAACCCGCAGACCTCACAGTAGACAATCGCTAGGGTTGCAAGAACTATTGGAGCTACATGTACAAGAACAAATGGTATTTTAGTCTAGTTTTCAATATTTTGGTTGAATGCGTCTACCTTGGCATTCATGTGATCGAACGAACTTACTTCATAATGCCCACCCTTTTCAGGGGCCTTAGTAATATTTTGTTAGGCGCTTCCCCATGAATGGTGGTTTCTCGCCATGCCTTCAATCAAATTATAAGCCATGTTTTGGGGGGGCATTCATGAGCGTAACACCGCCATGCACATCTAAAGTCATCCTCGTGGAGTATAAAAAATCATTGTAAAAAATGAGTACTATCAATCATTTTTCAAGCCCATCGAACGGGCATAATCTCAACAGATCTTTTAAATGCTCTCAGGAGTCAGAGAAAGACTCTCATTTCTCTTGTATAAAGTCATTAGTTTCACTCCTCACTTGGATTGTCTTGCTTGGCAAAAAGTACCATGCAAGGAAAGCAACCTTTAGTTTTGGCCATGTAGTTATGGAATTAGCGGGAAAATATTGAAGCCACGCCTGGCTCGGTCTCTTAGTGAGAACGAGAGAAATATGAGTAGGATGGCGTTTTGGTCAATGCATTGGCTTTTAGAGTGCCACGGAACTTGATAAATATGGACAAGTGAAGATTCAAATTTTCCGTAGTAACCATGATAATTGGTTCTTTTGAACCATGCTCACCAACGAGGGCTTAATCTCAATTCAAATATAAGAAAACATAACAAGCTATAGAAAATAGGCAAAACTCTGTACAACACCTACTTTCGTAGCATTTGTGCTCTCTCAGATGAATAATTTGTCTGCTTTACTTAGCTCGTATCATTCATCTGAGAACTCATAATTTAACACAACTATGCGGCTTTCTCAACAAAAAGTGATGCCATTTGTCGGTGGCACCATAACTTGGTTTATTAGAAATATGCTTTTGGATACTGAATCATTACCTTTCAATAAATGATCGGTATTTGAGTTACCTTTACTTTCGCAACCGACAGAAATATATTCAAGCATTCAGGTTCTAAAATAACAATTGTTTATATTTTCTCGTTTTTCGCATAAGAAAAATTCAATTTTGGTTTGCCATGAGATAGGTCTCACGACCAATTGTCCCAAATAGACTACTCACCCATTGTGAGGTTGACCGCAATTAAACAAAGTAAAGTCATAGCAAGCATATAAAATCAAAGCAACAACAATGGAAAAAGTAAACCTCGATGAAGACAATGATTTGAATTATAAGAAAAACCTCCAATAATACTTGAATCATCTTACAAGGAAGTATAAATTGTAGCAAAATAACACACAAGAAAACTTAAAAGAAAAGCTTAATGCTGAAAAATAATCTTAGAAATGTAAGAGTAAAATATATGGTTTCCACTACCAAGAATCCTAGGCCTATTTATAGTCAGTCATTACATTCAATACCCTAAATTTGTATAAATGGAACTTAAGGTCATTAAGTAACTAAAGTGGAACAGTTTAGAGACCTCAAAAGTCACAAAACATCCAAAATTTTAAGGATTCACAATTGTCGTTGGGATGAGCACCTGCAGTCTCGGGAAACATTGGTCTCCTGTGTTGTTCTCTAAAAATGTAGAGGGAGATCTTGGATACAACACGACCCGTGTCAGGGAAAGCGGTCTGCCCATTTTGTGCTTAGTTTCTTTGTATGAAGGGGCGCTTCAGGCAAGACGGTATGTGTCAAGAGATACGGCCAACCCGTGCTATCATTCGGTTTTGTGTACTGGGGACTTCTTATCTTGCGGTTTTCAGTTTTTTTTTGTTCTACTTCGATTTTTGACACTCCTTATTAGATGAAAACACAAAAACACACCAAAAAGTAGTAAAAAAAGAATAAAACAAGAAAATAAAGCACGAGGAATATTTAAAAAAACACCCAATAAATTGTATAAATATCACTTATCATTAGACATTTTTGTATGTAATCTTGTATTAATATTAATGATGTCAAATATTTTCATTTTAAAAGTTTTCAATACATGTTTATGTTTTTAAAATATTTCTCCATTTTTCATTCTAAAACATGTTATGTTTCTCAGTGTTTCTGAAAGTGCTTCTGTCTTTTGTGGTTTTGGGAATACATCTCCAGAATATCATTATAGAGTGATTTTGGAAATGCATCTCTGAAATTACCCTTAGTACAAGATAGAATTTTTTAGGTCAGTATTGGCCTAGAAATTGTATAAGTATGACGCTCTCATCTCATATTTCTTTTTACCAAATCACATTACATCAAAATGAACATCAATTGGCATGTCACAAATGTCTATTTAAATATAGTGAATCCCTCAATTAAATTTAAGTTCAACGAGTAATCCTCTCTTGTATATCTAAAACTTATACTAGAGAATCTCCTACAATATTCTGATAATCAAAAAATTGTGAAGTTCGAGTATCGTTCGCCCTTGATTGACAACAAAAGAAATATGTAGTTCAACAACTTTGAGCTGATGACAAGTAAATATCTAAGGGTTATTTGAAATACATTTTCCGTTACGAAACAAAATGTCTGATCAAGATGGATGCAACGATTATGAGATCGATCGAAGATATCTTGAAGATGTTGAAACGTTCATATGAATTTTGAAATCTAATGTTTGACTTATGTTAACAATTAGCTATGTAATATTTTGTTTTTTATGTTATCAATGTTTCGTTTTTATGCATCTTTATATTTCTGTGTTTGCCTCTGATTCAGTATGTTTCAGAAATACACCTTTGTAAGATTTACGGAAATGCATTTCGGGATTAAATTCACTCATAGTTTGAGGTGTGACTTAAAAATAAAAGTATTGTGTGAATGGAATCGTACAGAGATGCATTTTTGAATTAGAGTGATTTTTTTGATTTTTCACAAGAGTTGAGAAACAATTTATAGGGGTGCACTAAACAATTCTCGTATATTATACGAGATATACGCCACTTGTTGTAAAATTAAAAAACAAAATAAGGAATTTTTTTAATATATTATATGAATTATTATCACACCTCGTAAAAATACAATATTTTTTATATTTTAAAAATGTATATTTGAACGCACTCCAAAATACACTAAATATATTGAAAAATATATTTTTTGATTTTGAATATGCATCTTCTGACGCACTCTAAAATACACCAAATATATACGCAAGTGAATCACACATTCATTTTATAAAAAAATAGTCTAAAAATACATTTCTAAAATTTTGAGCCAATTATCTAAGCTGAATTTATAAGCAGAAAGAGTGCTGCTATTGAAAGGTTGGCCCAGAGAATTATTAGAGGTGATGTTATGTCAATTGCTTTGGATATGGGTGCATTAGTTGCTGTTATTAAGTATAGGGGAGAATTTGAAGACAGACTGAAGCCTGTTTTGAAGGGAAAGTTATTCTATTCATTCATCTTATCCTTGGTGCACGGAAGAATCAACTATGGATGCTGCTAATCTTTTCAAACGACAACACAGATTTTATAAGCGGAATTTTGTAAATATTTAAAATAAATAAAACAAACAATAGGATCAAAAATTCCAAAAATGTATTTTTGAATTTGAGAAGTATTATTTTTTTACAAAATAGAATATAATTCATTATTTAATGTATTTTGAGATATATCTAAAGAGACAATTTTAAATTTTGAATAAGATCATTTTCTAGCATTCTACCACATGGGATGGGAATAAAAAAAGAGATTGGCAAAACTAACGATTGTTGAAATAAAGTTATGCAATTAATAAAACAAATTAAATTCAAACTATAACTCACTAAAAATGAATTATAATAATATTCTAATTCTTAAAGTTTAAAGAAAACTAAAATGAAATCATCCCCGCCTCTCTCTTGTAAAGGAATTATGACTTTTTAAGATTGCTGAATCAATCTTGAAAAGTCAGACGTTTTCCAACGAGTCTTCACGCATTTGCGGAGAGCTGCCCAAGCTGAAAAGCGGGGTGATTCTTCTGGAAAGAATCACCAGCAGGTGGTGACGCTGTTTTAATGGGGTTGAGACAAAGGTCTCCAGAACTAAACAAATACTTGTCTCCAGCTTCATCAATATCTCTCTCCTGTAATAAAAAGTGAAAAACAAATGTCCAAAACCAATCAGTTTGATACTAAGATTCACTCATAAAATCGTCGCTAACTTGCTATGACAGCTTTTTTCTGCTTTGTCACACTAAATACACGTTGATCCAGTTGACTGCTGTTACTGTGAGTTTAACATTTTATGCACCTGTTGCACTTAGATTTTAGAAAAATAAAATACCCATTATGTTGTAGACTTGTTCAATCATACACTAACCCGCGAGTTTAAGTGAATCTAACCAACTTTGTAAAAACGATAGTGCACGTGAGTTAAGCCATAAACTCAGGAAAGTATAAATCAACTTGTTCTAAATGCTAAACATCAGCACAGCCTTGCCTTCTCCGCCTCTTTATTGGGATCTTAAACTTATTATGTTTTTTAATTGACTTTTTCTCTAAAGACTTGTTTGTTTTTTATTTGACTTTTTTCTCTAAACATTTATTTGTAACTAGCTTTTTCTTTACTTAAATTTGTAAAAGGCTGAGATCTTAGTAATCTCCCATTTCAGGAAAGGTATAATCTCTTTTGTGAAACAAGTCTTATCTTGTTGACTAATGGTGTACGAGCTTTGCAAAACTTCCTAGAATATTGGTATATAATATATATATGCACGTGCTAAACTATCCGGCCAGTGTTTCCAAATTTTGGCGATAAAAAGTTAGAATATAACAAGAGAAATTTAGACAGATGAATCCTTAACTTTGCTAATACAAAATAATACTATAAAAGATATATTATATTACTAGGGTTTAATATTAAGTATATGGATTAGCCTCATTTGTTTTTTCTGATGTTCTATTCTTTTAACCTATTAATATAAATGCAATGAGCATTTAATTTGACATTCTTCACTTAAACTTGGCACCCCCTCATTTGGTATAAATAACTGTCCGTACAATAGCTCTTTACTCATTTTCAAAATTTACAATCTCCACACACGAAGTTGAATTCTCTCGGGAGATACCAAAAATTTTGTTTCTTCTACCGGAATTTTCAAAATCAGTAAGTTCCTTTTACCGTAAATCACTAAATTTGAGTGATTTTGTATCGGAAATTTTAAATTTTTAATAGTTATAAAAATTGTCTATTATCGAAAATTTTAGAATTTCCGATAGTTATAAAAACTTTATTTTATGTCAAAAATTTCAGAATTTTCAATAGTTATTACTTTATTTTTATTATTTTCGTCTTTTGCAGTGAAATAAAGAGGCAGAGACGACATTATTGCAGACAGAGCGATAGATAGAACAGCCGACCAAGCTAGGACTGTTGAGGCTAAGTCTTCCCATATACAAGTTGGACGAGTGGTTCCAACTAATTCACATCTGAAAAGGTTGGCTGAGCAGGGTCAGTTCTGTGCACCCCATAACACCCGACGCCGATAGGTTAGATCATTTGAGTAGCCCAAAAATTAGGTGGCAGATGAGATGGTCCAGCCAGATGTCACTTTTACATATGAGGTGGTTGCTGATGAGGTGGTTCAACCAGATGATGTTATTGTTGATTCGGTTTCATTTGTTATTGCGGACATAGAGGTTACGGCTCCTTCGATTGAGCCCGTTGTGCACACTAATGGAGGATTCAATGGAGGACGCATTAACCGATCGGTGCTCATATCGACGCTCCTTGTGGGTGTGTTGCATTAACCATCTTGTATACAGCACTTGGAGTGGCGACAATATTTGAGACCAGACAATTTGCTGGTTATTTGAGTCTATTACAGGTATACTTGAAATTATTATTTGTTGTTGATTTCTTATTTAAATGTTACAAATAACATTTCTTAATTATTATTTGTTGTGTCTGTGTTTTGATATCAGTACTGGATAAACGAGCATTTCTCCATCATTTGTGACAGGAGAGTGCAACATTCGGTGGGGTTTCCCGGGCAAGGAGATAGAGGGTCAGGCAGTCACATTTCAGTGGTGTTGCTGAGTATATGAGGAGGTTTAATGAGCTGACTGTAGATGATGTCATCTGAACATACACTGATCATAGAGTCCACTGTAAGTTCAATGTGTCTTCATTATATTCAAGTTGGGAGACCATGATTGCTAGACGCTTGCCTGAGAGGTGTCTATGACAATATGGTTATGTTCAGAGAATTCCACAACCAATTCTAGATATACCATCTGTAGGCATTGATGGGTGGTTTTAAAGTAACATCATCAGCTTCGGTCGTGTCATTAGAGATCGAACGGTAACGGTTCAGCACACCTCGCAGTGTGAGGATGGTTACTTAGAGTAGTACTTCACTGTATCACATCCTCGCACCATCCTACCTTTTGAGCATATAGATGATGTTGGGCCTTTTAATGTTGGGGTACATAACGATGACGTGTTGCCGCCGCCTCCAACAGCTGATGCCGATGACCAACAGCGCCTCCAAATGATTACAATTATTATGGATAATCTAATGGGTTTGGTAAACTCATATGGCGAGGTTTATACTGGATTATCTCAGGCTGCACACGTAGCCTGTGGGGGACCTATTTAGACATTTTTATTATCTTTATGTATTATTTGTATATTACATGTAACATTACTCAAACATCTTCATCAGAATTTTTTATTATATAATATTTTTTATCTCTCATTGATGCAACATCAACATAAACTAACATTTGACAATGGATTACATAACTTAAAACAACGATAATAAATAACATAACCTAGACACTACGAGATGATTCTAGACATTTCATCATCTTAATCATGTCGTCGGCGGACCTTGAAATCTTAGCATTTAACTCGATCGGTCTATAACCAACGGCAAAATGATCTCCACATATCCTTCACATCTTCAATGATCTTCAACTCAATAAGATTGTATTTCACTCTTACATCAGTATCAATCTAATTTTCACAAAATTCAATCTTTCTCACCTTTCTGTTTTCAGTATCAGGCAAAAATTCATTCAACTTGGACGTCAAGGCAACGAGAGATGTGTTGTCATCCGGAAGCCGAAATTCTACGGAAGCTAAAGCTCTGTGAAGTACAATTTTGCCTTAATCAAAAATTGAAGAAGAGATGTTTTTGAGATGTTTTTATCAAACAACAGATGACTCCTTATTTATACAACTTGTATTTACTTTGGACCACACAAAATTGTCAATACAATCACAATCATCTAAAATTATTGACAAAATTCTGAGTGATTAAAATTTCAAACAAATAACACTACCGAAAATTTCACTTTTATTGAAATTTTCAGTATCAAATGGTAAATTTAGAATTTTCGATATAAATTGTAACTTCCTGAAAATTTCAAAAATTCCAATATACCAGAAATTTAGTTTGTACTAAAAATTTTGATTTTGACTACCGAAAATTTTGAACAGAAATTTCATTTAATTTTTAGTCAGGGGCAATTGTGGCAATTTGAAACTATGGGGGTGTCAGTCCCAGATATAAATGGGGGTGACAAATTAAATTCACAAATGCGAGGGTCACTATACATTGTAGTGTATCTGATTGATTATTTATATTCTCTCTCTCTTTTTACATGGTATCTAGAGCCTACAAGAATTCACCGTTAGAAAAAAAACCCTTCTAGCAGCAACAGAGAATGTCGATTTTGCATGCTGGAGGGATGAAAAAAATTTCAACATTTTTAAAAGCTTTTTCGTGCACATTTGAAACACGCGTTTTCGACGGCGGATGGGTTGTGGTTTTGAGAAAGAGATTGGGTGTTTTTTTTATGTTTGATAGAAGCTCGGTGAATTCAGCAGTTGTTTGTGGCGTTTTAGTGGTATTTTACATTGATAGTGTATTTTTGTGCAGTTTAAAGTTAAAATAGTGTGTTGAAGACAGTTCTATGAAGCTTGTCACCGAGTTTGTTACTACTTCCATAAAACTCACCGACATCAAGCTAGATGAATGGTTAGAACTACATGGAGTGGAAGCATCTAGTTGAAGTTAGTCTAAGAGGAATGGGAAAGGAAGGACATTTAACGGATGCATGTCCAAAGAAAACAAAAACAACAACAATTTACAATACAAAGGATAAACATATTTTGGCCTTACTTATGAATTTTGTTGATAGGCGAGTTCAATCGGTTATTACTCACTGCAAGACTGCAAAAGAGTTGTGGGATTTATTGAAGTATATGTTTATTAAATATGATAATTGGAATCGCATTTATGCTCTTCTGCGAGAGATTTTCCGCCCCAAACAGGATACATGTAAATGGATGGGTTATTTTTAGGAGTTTAAGAAACATACAGAGGAGTTGAGTTCTCTTCTAGCGTGCAAATTTGTCGAAGAGATGTTTAACTCAACAAAAGAAACTTATGGCCTTGAGTTGGCTTTCTATTCTTGATTCAAAGTATGAGGTGGTTAGATCCCAAATTTTGTCCAGTAAACAAGTCGATAACTTTACTGAAGTTTTCTGTCGGGTTATACAATCATCCTTTATGGAAGCACACTCTACTACAACAGACAATGATTCCTCTAATTGCTAACATTAATTGTGCAATCTGGAGGTCGTGATGGTTTTCATAATGTGGGTAGAAGAGGTTGTGGTAATCGTGGTCGTGTTCTTGTGGGTGGTGGTCGTGATGCTCCAGTCCATTGCATTGGTTGTGGAGAATTTGGTCACTACTAAAATCGTTATCCCCACGCACAACCTAATCCTCGCTTCACTAATACAGTGTATCAGCCTAATCCTCAGCCTTCACAAAATGAATGGCGTACAGTAGAATTGAGTGATAAAGAATTTAACAGATATACACAGTTTCAGATTTCCCAGCAACCATCTCCACCTTCCTCCATAGTCACATTTGTCCAATTAGGTAATCCTACTATGTATCTATCCTTTTCTTCTCGGCGTTGGGTTATTGATTTCAGAATTTTTTTTACCAAAATAACCTACTTTTGCCTCAATATTATCCAATATAACCATCATTCCAACATATATTTCAAAATATCCATGTTTTAAAAAAGAAACATTTGTGTAGGAGACGCCAATAGCAGGAAAGTCGCCTCTTAAATTAAAGAGGGAGTGTCAATAGGTGGATAGTCATCTCTTAAATTATAAAGGGGGAGTCAATAGGTGAAAGCCTCCTTTGAAAATAAGGAGGGAGCGCCAATAGGTGAATAACCACCTCTTAAATTATAAAGGGGGAGCCAATAGCACCATAGTCTCTTTTTTTTAATAATTTAATTAATTCAAAAGGAGTCCACCTCTTGGCGCCCCCTCCTAATTCTCAAAGGAAACTATCCACCTATTGGCTCCCCCTTTATATTTTAAGAGGTGGTTATCCACCTATTGACGCGTCCTCTTTAAATTTAAAGGAGGTTTTTCTTCTATTGACGCCCCCTCTCACGTTAATATTTTTTTTTTAAACTTGGTATTTTGGATAATATGACTGAAGAATGGTTAGATTGGATATTATTGAGGGAAGAGATGGTTATTTTGGTAAAAAAAAATCTTGATTTTGGCTATCATATGAAAGGGGATTAAGGTATATTTTCCTTTTCCAGTCATTCCAGTAATTATTCTTCTGTCAACCTTCCTGATGATTTCAAAGTACATGTTTAAGGAAGTGGGTGTTTTACCCTGCTTTCTACCTTACCTTTGTCATTTGTCTTATATTTTCCTCAGTTCCCTTGTAATCTTCTTTCAATTGGTCAAATAATTAATTCGTTAAATTGTTCTATGACATTTTTTCTGACTCTTAGTGCACTTCAGAATTTGTTGACATAGAGGACTATTGGTAAAGGACAAGTATATAACGGGATGTATTTGCTTGAAGAAGGACTTTCACAAGCATCAACAACTTCTAAATTTTGCAGCATGTCACCTTTTAAACTTCATTGTCAGCTTGGACATCAATCTTTAGGAATTCTTATAAGTATTTTGTTACTTTTGATGATGACTATTACCGTGCAACTTGGTTATATCTAATGAAATCCATATTTGAGTTATTTACTATATTTTGCAATTTGTGTTGAAATTCATTCACAGCTTAATGGTCATGTTCGCATTCTTCAAAGTGATAATGCCAATGAATATTTTTCTGCACAATTTAATACTTTCATGAATCACCATAGCATGATTCACCAATCATCTTGTATTGTCACTCCACGACAAAATTGAGTTGTTGAGTGTAAAGTCAGTCACTTAATGGAAGTTGCTCGAGCTTTATTGCACGAAATGAAAGTTCCAAAAGTTTTTTGGACAGATGCAGTACTCACTCCTGCCCACTTAATTAATCGCATGTCATCATCGATTTTAAATGGTGTTGTCTCATATTCCATCGTTTTTCCTTCTCATTCTTTGTGCTGAAATTCGTACACAGTTTAATGGTCATGTTCGCATTCTTCAAAGTGATAATGCCAAAGAATATTTTTCTACACAATTTAATACTTTCATGAATCAACATAGCATGATTCACCAATCATCTTGTATTATCACTCCACGACAAAATGGAGTTGTTGAGGGTAAAATCAGTCACTTAATAGAAGTTGCTCGAGCTTTATTGCACGAGATGAAAGTTCCAAAAGTTTTTTGGACAGATGCAGTACTCATTGTTGCCCACAAAAGGAGGTGTAAATGGAGTAACCACCTAGTTTTTTTGCTCAAGGAGAAAATGGTCAAGAGTGTCAATTTAAAGACATCAATGCATGGCTTGAAACAATTACCTAGGTCTTGGTTTGGGAGATTCAGTGAAGTGATTTGACATTTGAATGAAATGATGTCAGAGTGATCATACAGTATTTTTTAATAAAAGCAATTGTGGAAATATCTTACTCGTGGAGTATGTTGATGATATTGTAATTACAAGAAGTGATAGTAAATGAATTGACAAATTGAAGGCTTTTCTACAAACCAAGTTTCATACCAAAGATTTGGGAGTCTTGAAGTATTTCTTGGGCATTGATGTTATCTATTCAAAGAAGAGAATTTTTCTTTCGCAGAGGAAATATGTTTTGGATGTATCTATTGAGTGGAAACTGGTATGGTGGGGTCCAAACCATGTGAGACTCCTATGTAGCCTGGAGTTAAGCTGACAGTGGATGGAACTCCTTTCTCGGATCCACAAAAATATTGAAGATTGGTGGAGAAATTGAATTACTTTTAGAAGAGTAAGTGTTGTAAGTCAATTTCTATCTTCCCTCACTAATTTTCATTGAGAAGACTAATTTGCATTGTTAAATATTTGAAGAAAGCTCTAAAAAAAGGAAATTGTATACTAAGACATGGGTATATGCAAGTGGAGGATATTTCTGATTCAGATTTGGCAGGATGTCCAGTGAATTGGAAGTCTACCACAGAATATTGTGTATTCTTCAAAGGTGGTAATTAGATATCTTGGAAAAATAAGAAATAGAATGTAGTAGCAAGATCAAGTGAAGAAGTAGAATACAGGGCATTGAATGTGATGCGTAGTGATACTATGTTAGGACAAGAGAATCACTAACAAATTTGTTTACAAAGGCATTGAATGTAACACATAGTGATTTCATTTGTAACAAATTGAGCATAATTAATATATATGCTCAACTTGAGAGGGAGTAATAAGAGTTATATTATAATATTATATTATTAGAATTTAGTATTGTAATAAGAGTTATATTATAATATTATATTATTAAAATTTAGTATTAATTATATGGTTTTAACCGTCTTGATTTTCTTGTACACTACTCTTTTAATCTATTAATATAAATATAAGCTTTACTACGGAAATGGAACATACCTACTGAAATTGAATCAAAACAATTTGCTCGAACGCCACTAAGAAGTCTAGCACCAACACGATCAAGCTGCTTGACATAAGCAGAAGCTTTCAAGTTGCCATCCCTTTGAAAAGCTCTAACCATCTGCTCACCAATGAGGTGACCCTTTTCCTCATCATCCGTGACAGCAACAGCAGTAGGTCCAGAACCACTGATAGTGCATCCGTAAGCTCCAGCTTTAATAGCAGCCTTCTTAACAGCCTCCATCCCAGGAATCAAAGCTGCACGCTTTGGTTCAACAATTGTATCGGACGACAACGCCTTCCCAAACATCAACAAATCTCCCTGCAACACTCCAGCCACCAGAGCCCCTGCCTGGCTACAATTCCACACATGATGCGCCATCCCTATTTCCAAAGGAAGTGCAGCTCTCATCTTCATCGTGGGGGCTTCAAATTCAGGTGTGACGAGTACAAAATATAACACTTTTTCAGAAGGGAACTTCAGCCGCATCAACTCCAAGGGTTTGTAATTCCTAACCAGAACAAATCCCCCCAGGATCGACGGCGCGACATTGTCTGCATGATAACCCGATACCTTCTCCTCGGATTTTAAGCATGCGACAACAAGTTCATCTATTGTCAATCTTCTCCCAAATATCTCGTTCACGGCAACAGCGGCCGCAGCTGCACTGGCGGAACTGGATCCCAACCCACTCCCTAAAGGTAAACCTTTCTGGAGGGAGAGGGAAAGACCGACAGATCGAACACCCAGCATTTTCATGGCTTCGATGGCTGCAATACCGGAGCAGTTCCGGAGAGGGTCTTTACTGAGTTTGTGAATGTTTGGGGTTTGACCCGAAATATCTGAGATAGATATCTCGCCGGGGCGAACAGCTGGATCCACTCTTGCTGAGATTATGTCACCAATACCATCCACCGCACAACCCATGAAGTCGAAGCCCGGACCTAGATTAGCCACCGTCGCCGGAGCAAAGGTTCTTACCGATGAAAAAACAGCGCGTGGCTCGTCGTTATGGTTGATTTTTTGAGCGTAGCACGTCAATCGGAAAGTTGGTGGCAAGGTAGGTTTAGTTCTGGCGGCTTTCAAGTTCAGTGAAGCTGGAGACGTCGGGAACCATGTTGCCGCCATTGTTCTCTGGTTCGCCTCGCCTCTCTAGGTTGTTAACATTTTACAAGAGACGATCTTTTATACTTCAAAAGATTTGGTACTGTATTAATTTACAGAATTTAAATTATAATACATGGTCCTTTTATTGTCTTTACATATACGAATTGATTTAACGGGATAATAAAAGATGTTTTATTATATTTTTATAATTATAAGAAATATTAATTATAAGAAATATTACATCCATTACAAAATAAATACCATATTTAAAATTTTTAAAAAAAATATTCTAAAAAAATGTTCACTTTGAATTACCATTACAATTTTATTTTTAATTAATTGTATTCTCTGATAAACGTTTTCTCATTTAAAATTAATGTTAATTTATATAGAGATAACTTAATATTATTCGTTCTCTTTCTATTATTATTTTTACTTTGAAAGGATTGAATTTTTTTTAAATAATCATATTTTTTGTTTAAAATATCAAATAAAAATAAAATTTAAAGAAAATATCAATGTAATTATGTTTATACATTGAGTCGCCATATGAAATGGTTGATCAATTTCACCTTGACCTAAGTCGCCATTTCATATGGCGTAAGGGTATAAAATTGAAAACCCTGTCCTACACTGAGTCGCCATATGGCGCCTCAGTTGTAGGGCCTTTTTTATATATATAATATTTAAAATTTTGTTAATAAAATAATAAAATTTAGTTATTTTTAATATTTTGTATATATATATATATATATATATATATATATATATATATATATATATATATATATATATATATATATATATATATATATATATATATATATATATATATATAAAAATTAAAAGAAATAATAAATTTGCAAGTGTATTTACGACATATCATATATGGTCCGTACTATTTCATTTATCTATAAATAAGATTGCACACTCATCTCTTTTTTCACAACAATTTTCACAAATAGACTCATCTCTTCATAATTTTTTAAATCAGTCTAAAATGCCTGCATTTCTAAACCAACGTTCATCGTCAGAGAAACAGTTTCCAACATTTCCTCTAATGAAAAGAAATGCCCTAGTTTATTTTTTCAGCAACAAAGTCTCCAATAAAGGTGCTACTGTGGAGCACGTAGACTTTAGAGCGTTTGCATACGAAACTGAACCGCTGGCTAGAATGAGATATTGTTGCAGGTGAAAAGATTAGGAAAATTGAGAGGTTGGTTGAGGAGTCAGGGAGAAACGAAGTTACTCGTGATTTGAGAAAAGTGGAAAATGATGTCGGTGTCCTTGTGATGATGTTAACACCAAAGAAGAATACATTGATGGTTGTAATATCCTTAACAAGTTGATACATTGTGTTGTTTTATGTGGGTTTATTGTTGTTATTTTCGGAATATTATTTTGATATTAGGTTATGTTGTTATTTTCTGAATGTTGTTTTGATAGTAAGTTATGTTTGTTTAATTTATGTTGGTGTTAATTGTAATCGTTTAGCTATGTTTTCAATGGGATGAAATTTGTTGTTGATTTAAAGGGACACGGTTACATTAGAAACTATGATTCTGTATTTGATCCTACATTGGGACATTTTGTACGATCATGTCCTGGTTGCCGACACGAACTACACTATCTGACCATTTTGTTTGCTGCATCCATCTCCGTTCGAATTCGCGTGCTATTAGGGCGACCTTTTTTCTTTCTTCGCATCAAATCATTATGTTGGACAATTTCGCCTTCGTATGGAGGCCAATAGTCCTCCTTTGCCACCACTTGAAAGCTACATGTGTAGACATTGCATAGACTTATCACTTGGTGAACAACAGAAAGATAGTTGGTTGGGTCCTAGCGCACCTTCGAACATGCTGCTATAACATTGGAGCAAGGCATACGAAATGCCTGAAACTTTCCACAGTCACACCAACTCTTATCCAGTTCCACTCGGTAACATCCCTTAAGCCTTCCTTAACTGTATCAATTGACTCGACAACACTGAATCAACCTTTATTACGGTCAAAGATTGTGACCACGTGTGTGTTGGTTTTGCCAGCTTCGTCTTTCATGAATTTTGTTGAACTATTACTGTACAACTGACCAGATTATAATATTGAACCCTACTTTGTACGTCTGTTATCAAAGAGCACCCCAAGCCTAAAATATGTTGCCTTTACCAAGACAGTTATCGGTAGGTTTCAGATTCCCTTGAAAATAAAATTCATTTATTCAACGAGGTTAGTTGTCATGTGGCCCCGTCGCACCCCATTCTCGTATGCCCTTGTCCATTTCTCTTTATGAATATTATCAATCCATCGCACCCCATTGATTCAACACTACAACATGCATTTTCATGTGACTCCTGCACTTAGAAACTTGCACACTTCAGCATGCATTTTCATCTGACTTCATCCATCACATTTAACCATTATAAATACATGTTCATCAAGGAATAGACTATTCTCATCACATTACCAACTCTACTTCTCAAACGCTCTACAAAATCTTCTTATCACTCTGCAAACTTCACTCATCAAAAATAACCTACAACGTCTCTACTCACAATGGGCAACGATCACAGAGGAAAAATTGTGAACATCACAGAGTTTGTAAGTATTTTGCTTTTTGTTGTCATTCTTTAATAAGTTGAATTTTCCTTTAAACCTAGTGATGTTTATATTCTTTCGCATAATGTATCAAGGTTCTGTTGTCGTGTGCATGACTACATACCACACGAGCCATTCATATAAGGATACTTAGAAGCATGTGAGTTTGGTGATTTGATTAAAATCAAATAATACTCACTGGATCCCAAATTTATTCTAGCGTTGCTAGAACGCTGGAGACCAAAAACCCACGCATTTCACCTACTTTTCGGTGAATGTACCGTAACTTTACAAGATGTCTACATGTTACTTGGCCTACACATCATTGGTAAGGCCGTCAATGGCAAAGTTGGTGTTAATGACCAACTTTGCAAAGATTTGTTTGGTGTCCCTCTATGTGTTGATACACCTCAGCCACAACGTGAAAGTCGACCGAGGGGGCAAGGTATTAATTTGCAATACCTTCGAGAATACTACAATAGTATCATGTTAAACGAGGAATGCACCGAGTATGAGAAGATACTTAAAACTCAGTGTTATATTATGATATTATTTGGTCATTTTTTATTTCCAGACAATATTAGAAATACCATAAATATTACATAGTTACCGTTGTTGCACAACATTAATAAAGTGTGCACATATAATTGGGGTTCGGCTATCCTCGCCCATCTATATAGTTCATTATGTAAAAATGCAAAAAGAAAAATCTTGTACTTTTTATGGTTGCGCCTATCTCCTTCAAGTGTGGGGTTAGTCTAGGATGCCAACACTTGCTCAAATCAATCGCAATCCATTCATATTCCCCTACACTAATAAGTAAGCTTATTTTTAATACAAGTATACAAATGATGTTTCTTTGTAACTTTATTATTTGTGCAATGTTTCTTAGTAACTAATTTATTTGTGTTTCCTTTTTTTTAGGTGGTCTGTTCCGGGAATTAATTACCAAAGATGTCCCAGGAACTCCATAATCGTGTACTGCAACCTTATAAAACACATTGTGTCGAACGATGTAATTTATCTACCATTACTTTATCTAATTGATAAACACATACTTGTATTTCTCATTAAATATATCATTAATGTAGTTTATCTAGATGTCGTACGGGGGTTTTAACCATCAGCCCAACGCTAATGATGTTGTCGTGTGGACATCTAAAACACCTATCATTCGGTTCACTACAGTGGAGATGCATCAAAGTGACCGGGTGAAACTACAGTTCGGGATGCATCAGGATATTTTAGTCGCTCTAACATCATTGGGACACTAACATCAGCTAAGGGTGGATACACAATGGAGTGTAAATCATTGGAAGGACTTTGCGAAAGAGATGTATCTGCATTGGAAGAACCGACATCAACACATCTTAACTGACCCTATTGTGAAAGGGGCTAGACCAAGTTATCAATATATGATTTGGTTTAGGTCGGTTACAACATCACAACAATTTATGTCTGAGCCGACATATTTGATTGAACCAAGGCAACATGCATCTTCCTCAAACCCGCAGCAGCAACCCAATGCCCAACATCAAACACCATGTTATACCCAACATCCAACTATGCCCACCCAATCAATCTTCCAAAACCGTAACCCATACATGCTACAAACCCAATCACAACAACAAGAGTCTTACCTCTACCGCCCGCCTTTCGAAACCAGCACCATTTCTACATATAACCCAGATACATCTCTTGACCCTACCTTATCCACCTATAGCCCAGATAACTCTTTTGACCCCACATCAGCCAATCAATCTTCCTACCAACAAAATGCCAATCCATTTTTTAACTACTAAACCCCCACAACAACCATTACATCCCTTCCAAACCAATTTGATGTACCAATTCGAACAACCATACCGTCCACACCCCACCCAACCTCCCCGAAAAAACTATGAAAACATGGGCATTGAACTTAATTACGGAAGCGATGTTGGTAGCGGCCCGCCCTGTAACACCCCATTTAAATCATTTAGTCGCTTTTGTATTTTCTGTGATATGTAATTTGTGTGATGTCCTTAATTAGGGTATGAGGTTAATGGCAAGCGTGAGAGGTGACCTTAGTTGGGGTAAGGTGGACCCATAATAATGATAATGCTAATCATTTAATAACAATAATAAGAATACTATAGTTATTGATATTATTATTTAATTGTTATTGATAATAATATTAATAGGATAGTAGTTATGATTATTATTATTATTATTATTAATTGGATTAAATGAATTAAAAACCTGTTTAAGGGGTTAAGAGAGGGTTAGTGGAGGAATTAGTCAGTTAACATTCGTGAAAGAGGAAGAGACAGAGAAAGGAGAGCTAGGGCAAAAAGAACCGATTCTCCATTGTTGTCAAGGAAAAAGCTTCAATCCAAGGTAAGGGGGAGAATGGATTTCAATATAGGTGAATTAATATGAGAG